TAAAAGAGTAGCAATTTATACACTCATTCTTTTGTCAATCTACAGTCAGCATTCAGTGTTCATGCGATGCACTGGTGAGATTTTCTTTCAATTGTGTATTGTCTAACTTCATAGATAAATGATATGAATGATATAATGATGATGATATTAATTGTGATCTTGGTTTTAAATTGGGGTTGGTGAATGACTTGAAGACCTGAAATTCGAATCCGAGCCAGAGATTAGAAAATGTGCCTTTCGACAAGTCCGAGTTCGAAAAGGACACCTTCATGTGCGCCGCTTGCAAGTAAATGTTTCCCCCGCATGTCCAAAAGATATGAATTACAAATACACTACCTCAAATAACAGCCATCATTCAACGTTACTTATGGTGATGAATTAGGTCACAACTAGCATACAAGTATTCAAGTAAGATGACTCAATGCCAATTTTAGAAGACTGCTTAATGCTCCAATGAAGGAACTTGCATGGGACAAGTAAAGAGCAAATCTAATACTGCCTCAACAATAGTTAACCATATGGGAAAGTAGTGTTTTACTTTTAATACGGCAGATGTAAAAAAACAGTAATGAGTGTGAGGTACCAAGCTACCAAAGTCAAGGTACGAGTCAAAAATCGTAGGCACATTGAAAAAAAAAATGGTCACATGTGTTATATACCGAACTCCTATTTGTCAGTTGGAGACGTGTAATAACTCTTCTATTATGAAGAATAGGTTGAAAGCCTCTCACACCCGAACGTTTCCAAAAAAGTGAGCTTCTGTTCATGAGCTAGACGCTTTGACGCTGCAAGTACCAGTCTGAGTAACTGGAACTGTGGCTGACCCAAGTACTTTTGCCTACCCTCTGTGCCTATCGTCTTTGGTCTTATTGCCAGCACCCACAAAAAACGACGAAATACTAACTTTAGCGCACGTACATCACAATCGTTTCCACGGTTATCATCCAACATAAAACGGTCAAATAGTATCCTGAACAGTTCGATGTGCGTTACTTAACGTCACTACACAAAACAAATTTGCAAACGTCTCATTTGCATATCGAATATGTTCGAACTACAAATCCTTGTCGGTTAGCACAGATACATTCAAGTCATCCAGTTACTTTAATCAGTTTAATAAAACGTTTTACGTCCTAAATCTTAATAAAATGTTTGCTTAATTAGATTAATATATGCAAGATTTGCGTTAGATTTAAATAACTTTATAAACTGAATAATTCTTGGTGTTCTGTTGTTAAGCGCAGAGAATCGAATTCGAAAAAAGTATAAACATATTTACCAGAAAAGAAGATAAACGGAGGTATTAGTAAATTAGTCATCAATGTTTCTTTCCCCTTGGCCAGCTATATATGTAAGTGGAAGTTTGTTTGCAGAGTTTAATAAAATAGCACGAAGTCTGCGCAAAAAAAATATTCGTATTTACAGAAATCGGGAATATTTCGGTTGTCACATACCTTTTCCCCCTACTTTTTGTCGGGGGTTTTCAGGCGAAACAACTGAAAAAAATGACTGTGTAGAAAAGTAATTGACAACAACAGTCTGCCCTTTGCAGAGAGGTACTGGCCTATGTGAAGAAGAATAGCAAAATTAGCTCGCTCGGCTAGATGTCCTAAGACCAAGAATAATCTACAACTGGTAGACTAGTGAATCGACCATGGGGGCTGTGGGCGGGTCTTACGCACGGATCAGACTGCGTGTGTGAGTTTCCATAGTAATGTACTGAAATCCTGGAAACGACCAATCAGTTATGACGCAGAATTGTGTGTCGTCTACGTATTTACGTAGCGATTCACCAGGCTATTCTTGAGTTCAATGGGGAGGGGCACTCTGGATAGCTGGATCCAAGGCTAGTGGCACGTGTGTGCGAGAAGCATTTTAAGTACAAAATACAGTCACGTAATGCTATTTGAATGCGTGCATGACAAGGGTTCCTACAGTCGACACGTTCACTATATGTTGTCCTCCGCTGTAGTCTGACTTCGTACACAACCCCTACAGCGATTGATGCACAAATGCACATGTAATTGAAGTCACTAACTGAAACTATCACAACTCTCCATTATCATTTGAAGTAGGATCTCAAAGTACACATTAACACACTTATTTGCAATCCGTCAATATCGCGATATGAAATGTATACACATAAAACGCCTTTGAAGTCGTATTTACCAATAAGATCTCGTACATTATACAAAGGTATAATTGGAGGGGAAACTGACCACTATACTTACGAGAATAACGAGTGGTGGCAATTATACAGAGATGATAAAAGTATTGCACACGAATATGTTGGGGAATATTCTACCGATTTATATTCTAAGGAGGCAAGAACAATCATAGCAAATCACAATGCCGACAAGGTAAGGTCATATTATATCATCGACACTCTTGACTCAATAGCAATATTATTTTGAGTAATATATGGCATCCCCGCGTTCCATGCAAGAAAATATACGAACTGATCATTTTTGGAATTTTGCGATTAGTTCGGGTACAAATGATCATCATCTAGTCTCGTCGAGTTCTAACAATGTCACTATATATTTTGACATGATATGCTGTAAATCTGTCTGCAACCATATTCAAGAATAACAGATCCCATATCAGTTAAACGTTGTATTTGGTGTGTCTTTCATTCAAACATAAAATGAGCATTATAATGTTGTTCATGATTCACTATAATATGACCGCTGGTTGTCATTACGTATTATCAGAGGTACACTACGGTGACATGGTACCAAGATCCCGTTTCAATCTCGCTCTCGCATAAGCGTTCCAACTCAGTAAAATTTGAATGCGCATGCCCGAGGTAACTAGGATACTGGGATGTCCAGGTGGATCAAATAGCTGCTCACGATACTACGGATTACGATAACTATATTTTCTGTACATTTTCGATGTATTACATTTTTTCACTATGAATGTAGTAATATATATTTTATTGTTTTATTACAAACCGCCTATGTCATGTCAAAAGGTCATAGCCTCAGTCTCGTTAGCTACGAGATGAGACTTGAATGGGATCTTGGCATGATGTCACCATACAGTTATATGCGCGTTGCAAACCCCAAGTAATGTACCTCTGGTATTATTTATTGTTTCAATGACAATTTCCAGTGAAGTATGTCATTACAAAATATGACACACATTATTAAATATTATATTACGACGTCTCAGTCATACTTCAAACGCCATGATCTATGAATTACATAACCTGTTTTACCCTCTTGTATATTTCAGCCAATGTTTATGTACTTGGCATTTCAAGCTGCCCATGTGCCTCTACAGGCACCCGACAGTTACATAGACATGTATTCCCATATAACAGATCCAGATAGACGTGTGTATGCTGCCATGGTTACATGTATGGACGATGCTATAGGCAGCGTAGTTGAACAATTAAAACAATCTGGTCTATGGAACAATACTGTTTTGGTCGTATCAACAGGTGAGTACTCGTGAATGACAATAATTTACCACATATAGAAAGCACAACATATATTATTAAGGTTAATTCTGAAAACAAAAAATATTTACTTAGAAGTGTATTCAATTGATAGCAACATATCCCAAAACAAGTCCCCAAACACTAATATTTTCTTATAAAGCAACACATTTTATGCTAAGATAAATAACAGTATGTGAAGATTAATTTACTGAATATCTGTGTTACAAAGACACACGTAAAGGTCGAATGAAATTCTTCGTGTGGATAATTTTTGCTTCTAATTTCACTGCCAGCAAGTTTTTGTTTTACCGATTATCTCTATTTATATTGTTAACTTGCTAAGTTAAGTATTTAAGGAAGTATATTTCGCCACATACTAATATAGGACTGCTACTTAAGCCAACTCTGTAATTGATTTAGACAATGGCGGTCCCCATGCAAGTGGTAACAACTGGCCTCTCAAAGGCGCCAAAGCAACACTGTGGGAAGGAGGTGTAAGAGGTGTGGGGTTTGTTACGAGTCCACTACTGGACAATCGTGTCAGAGGGTCATCAAATCATCAACTTATTCACGTTACCGACTGGCTTCCTACATTTGTAAGTTTGGCTGGTGGTGATAGTAATGAAATTAAATCAATGGATTTGTACGGTGTGGACCAATGGAATACTATAAGGTAATTTAAACGTTTTGTTCAATGTCCCCCTGACCTAGATTGTTTGAGAAATAGCTACTTGTGAAAATACTTTTCTCGAATGCTGAATTTCCACAGCAAAAACATTATAAGAGCACTGTACTACTGATGTGTATAATGTATAACGCCTAATATTTTATTTACATTTGTAAAAGCAAAAACCAACCATCTATGCGGGACGATGTACTCATAAACTTGGTTCCAGAATCATTGATGAACAAGGCAAAAACAAAAGATCGTTGGACGGAAAACGAGTATTTCGATGTGGGAATAAAGGCAGCAGTTCGTGTTGGTGATTGGAAGTTATTAACAGGGCACCAAGGTAAATACTGTGTAAATATCTTGTTTCAGTATCAGCCCTGATACTAAATTATAGATCAGTCATGAAATCTAAAACTAAATTAGTGAATAACGCGTTGCAATGCTCATAAAATACGATTTTATTTAAATGCATATTAATATTTGCATATTATAAATTTACATCAGATTACATTAATTAATTAATTGCTTACAATGCTAGCATTTTGAATATGGTTTCTATGGTTACACTAGTCTTTGTCTTTATTTGTTGAAAGGTATAATACAATTTATGCGTTAGAGGTTACTGTTTAATCCTTAATTTAACTTAAATGTCCCACCCTGTTTAAACATCAGGTCCAGCAATTTGGTTCGCTGCTCCAGAAAGTGATCACGATACAGTTTACGAAAGCGATAATCGAATTGTACGTCTTTACAACTTAGCTGAAGATCCAACTGAATCGAATAATCTGGCCGACTCGAGGACAGACAAAGTACTGCAGTGCCTGAAGAAATTAGGGGAATACCTACCAACAGTGTTACCAGTACTGAACGAGCCTTCAATCAATCAAGATGAAGCAGAGCTCCTCATGCCCAACCACATACTGGCGCCATGGGATCTAGCGGCGTATAAAAAAATTGCCCTTTTAAAACTGGGCTGATTTGACACAAGACACGTGAATCTTGAACATTATTATGTCGATTGTTATTGTTAGTGTATTATTTCAAGCGTAATAGGCAATCATCATACATTCGACATCGCTATATTGTTATTATACTAATGATTCTTACTACCATATACGTAGACACGTTATTACCTAGTTGTGACGTCACATAGAGGTGGTGGTATGGATTCAAACACGTGTGTGATATCAGTGATCTGCCACTGGACTAATAACGTTTAGGGCGACATACAAGTTCTTGTTTTGATGCAAATGTATGCATGTATGCAAGAATACACTAATCATTGTAACGATGTTAGCAGATGTTCCTATAGTGATGTTATTATAAATAAAAAGAAACATAGAGAAAATCATAAAACCAATAGTTTTTGTCACAATTTACACTCTGATAAACATATTATCGATTGGCTATAGTTTGTTTGATAATTCAGAAAATAGTTTTCTTTCATCGACTTTCATTTGCGATACTGCATGACCTCAGCGTTTTGTGTCATGAAATATACTAACACCTAGGACCGATATTGACAGTCCCATGGATCGATAAATGGAACTTTTCCTTAATTTGGTTAATGATAATGAGTGTATTCCCCATGTTTAACGGAAAGATACTAATTCTCTGTTATGAGAATAACACATTTCTCGTATCTCATAGACGATGAGATGATGAAGTGATATATGTAACGAGCTTGACAGCGATTGAGCTAGTATATATAGAAATATAGAAATATGCGCAATAATTAAAACTTTCCCTGTTAAGATGTGTAAGGTCGAAGTATAAGGTCAAATGCCTTCCAAGTATGCTAAACAGATGAAAAATGAGGCAGAATGTAAAGCATATTTTGTCAATGAGTATTCTTACACTATCTAACTGTACATGTACTGAAAAACCTGGTTATGTGAATATTTTGTACGCGGAGCTACTCGTAATTCATGTTAATTCATAAACATAATCTTTATAGTTTCTATGGTTTAAACTTACCTAACTCATCATCACGCACAGATCTGAGGAGCACTAATCTTATTTTTGGATGAGCATATATGCACAATTGCAACAGTATTAACCCAACAACTAAAAGGTTATTTAGTTAGTTAAGCTGTCAAATAGATTTATACTCATCGAATAATTTAGTATAGCGCCATCCACCATCCAGTGATGTGGTGTAATTTTAGTTTGTTTATGTAGATTACTGAGGGCACCATATTGCTAAAATCCACTAATGAAGCTGAACATTTAGTTACTAGTATAAGTGTTAACGCCTAGATTCGTCTATTAGGTCGCTAATAAAAAGAAATTCGTTTTTCGTGAATTTGTTTGCGCCGCACATATGAGAAAGTATAAATAACGACGATGTCACATTGACATGGATAAATTAACACTGTCCCCGATACAAAGTTTATGTAATCTGGGTTAGATGTTAATTATTATATAATCAATTTATTATAGACAGTAGTATACGTGCTGCGTCTCCATTAATTATTGTACCTTCACGTATTTCTATCATCATTTCTATCAATAGTATGTGATGCCTGTAAAATAAAATGAGATGAACCGTCAATTTGAACTGAAATTATTGGCATATTCGTTGTGTAAAAATGATAATTATTTGTAATGTGTTAAAGAGTTTGTAAAGTATAATTGTCTGAGTGGCAAATTATTTTAGTAGTGCTTTACACCAGTGCGAGTACAAAAGCATCTGGACCTTTGAACAGAATTACAGTTCGAGAATATAGCAAAAGAAAACACAGCAAAGTTAGCATTTCAACTATTTTCTGCATTATACATGTGAAAATTAATATGACTTGCATTGCATTGGACTATTATAGATCGTGACATCTGTTCATTTATATTGTTTTCAAAATTAATACGCCACAGTGCAAATAGTATATGCGATATATGCGATGGTACTTCAACGCATATAAGTCTACTTTTGTGTATCAATTTACAGTCAGTTGGCGTACAAGTGGTGGAAAAATAAATGCGATTAATTCAACAACATTCACTATATGGGACAGCCATCTAGAATGCGGCTTGAAACTAAACAAAGAAATTAAACAAAGCCTGAAATCCGGACATTTGAAGTATTCTCAAGTATGATATCGTGAATCGCTATTTAACTACGTAGTTTGCACAGAATTCCGTGTCCTCACTAATTGGTTGTCTTCATGACTTCAGTACATTACCATGGGAGCTCGCATTCACAGACTGCCACATACGTAATAACACGCCCATAACACTCCAAACCGATTTACTAGGCAGCGCAACATCTACTATTCGTAGATTGTTTTCAAAATATTACGGTATCTAGTCGAAGAAGTGGCGACGCGAACGTACTCATGGTGATGCACATGGTACCCTTGTTGTTCGAGTCAGTACCTTACTGTTGTGTGAAGGATTTTAGTTTAATATATCTTTGAATGAATACATTTAGAACCGCAATTGTAGCCCATCCAATATGTCAATAAACGAAAATAGACCGTAAACATCAGTAATTATTAGCATCAGTCTCGTTGGTTCCACGGTCAGGTCGCAGTAATGTGATCACGCCCCGCACGATGTGGAACGTTCCAAAACTCGGATTCACAGAACACAATCTCATCGATGCTAAAAGAGTAGCAATTTATACACTTCATTCTTTTTGTCAATCTACAGTCAGCATTTCAGTGTTCATGCGATGCACTGGTGAGATTTTCTTTCAATTGTGTATTGTCTAACTTCATAGATAATGATATGATGATATAATGATGATGATATTAATTGTGATCTTGGTTTTAAATTGGGGTTGGTGAATGACTTGAAGACCTGAAATTCGAATCCGAGCCAGAGATTAGAAAATGTGCCTTTCGACAAGTCCGAGTTCGAAAAGGACACCTTCATGTGCGCCGCTTGCAAGTAAATGTTTCCCCCGCATGTCCAAAAGATATGAATTACAAATACACTACCTCAAATAACAGCCATCATTCAACGTTACTTATGGTGATGAATTAGGTCACAACTAGCATACAAGTATTCAAGTAAGATGTCTCAATGCCAATTTTAGAAGACTGCTTAATGCTCCAATGAAGGAACTTGCATGGGACAAGTAAAGAGCAAATCTAATACTGCCTCAACAATAGTTAACCATATGGGAAAGTAGTGTTTTACTTTTAATACGGCAGATGTAAAAAAACAGTAATGAGTGTGAGGTACCAAGCTACCAAAGTCAAGGTACGAGTCAAAAATCGTAGGCACATTGAAAAAAAAAAATGGTCACATGTGTTATATACCGAACTCCTATTTGTCAGTTGGAGACGTGTAATAACTCTTCTATTATGAAGAATAGGTTGAAAGCCTCTCACACCCGAACGTTTCCAAAAAAGTGAGCTTCTGTTCATGAGCTAGACGCTTTGACGCTGCAAGTACCAGTCTGAGTAACTGGAACTGTGGCTGACCCAAGTACTTTTGCCTACCCTCTGTGCCTATCGTCTTTGGTCTTATTGCCAGCACCCACAAAAAACGACGAAATACTAACTTTAGCGCACGTACATCACAATCGTTTCCACGGTTATCATCCAACATAAAACGGTCAAATAGTATCCTGAACAGTTCGATGTGCGTTACTTAACGTCACTACACAAAACAGATTTGCATACGACTCATTTGCATATCGAATATGTTCGAACTACAAATCCTTGTCGGTTAGCACAGATACATTCAAGTCATCCAGTTACTTTAATCAGTTTAATAAAACGTTTTACGTCCTAAATCTTAATAAAATGTTTGCTTAATTAGATTAATATATGCAAGATTTGCGTTAGATTTAAATAACTTTATAAACTGAATAATTCTTGGTGTTCTGTTGTTAAGCGCAGAGAATCGAATTCGAAAAAAGTATAAACATATTTACCAGAAAAGAAGATAAACGGAGGTATTAGTAAATTAGTCATCAATGTTTCTTTCCCCTTGGCCAGCTATATATGTAAGTGGAAGTTTGTTTGCAGAGTTTAATAAAATAGCACGAAGTCTGCGCAAAAAAAATATTCGTATTTACAGAAATCGGGAATATTTCGGTTGTCACATACCTTTTCCCCCTACTTTTTGTCGGGGGTTTTCAGGCGAAACAACTGAAAAAAAATGACTGTGTAGAAAAGTAATTGACAACAACAGTCTGCCCTTTGCAGAGAAGTACTGGCCTATGTGAAGAAGAATAGCAAAATTAGCTCGCTCGGCTAGATGTCCTAAGACCAAGAATAATCTACAACTGGTAGACTAGTGAATCGACCATGGGGGCTGTGGGCGGGTCTTACGCACGGATCAGACTGCGTGTGTGAGTTTCCATAGTAATGTACTGAAATCCTGGAAACGACCAATCAGTTATGACGCAGAATTGTGTGTCGTCTACGTATTTACGTAGCGATTCACCAGGCTATTCTTGAGTTCAATGGGGAGGGGCACTCTGAATAGCTGGATCCAAGGCTAGTGGCACGTGTGTGCGAGAAGCATTTTAAGTACAAAATACAGTCACGTAATGCTATTTGAATGCGTGCATGACAAGGGTTCCTACAGTCGACACGTTCACTATATGTTGTCCTCCGCTGTAGTCTGACTTCGTACACAACCCCTACAGCGATTGATGCACAAATGCACATGTAATTGAAGTCACTAACTGAAACTATCACAACTCTCCATTATCATTTGAAGTAGGATCTCAAAGTACACATTAACACACTTATTTGCAATCCGTCAATATCGCGATATGAAATGTATACACATAAAACGCCTTTGAAGTCGTATTTACCAATAAGATCTCGTACATTATACAAAGGTATAATTGGAGGGGAAACTGACCACTATACTTACGAGAATAACGAGTGGTGGCAATTATACAGAGATGATAAAAGTATTGCACACGAATATGTTGGGGAATATTCTACCGATTTATATTCTAAGGAGGCAAGAACAATCATAGCAAATCACAATGCCGACAAGGTAAGGTCATATTATATCATCGACACTCTTGACTCAATAGCAATATTATTTTGAGTAATATATGGCATCCCCGCGTTCCATGCAAGAAAATATACGAACTGATCATTTTTGGAATTTTGCGATTAGTTCGGGTACAAATGATCATCATCTAGTCTCGTCGAGTTCTAACAATGTCACTTTATATTTTGACATGATACGCTGTAAATCTGTCTGCAA